TCTCTCTCTCTCTCTCTCTCTCTGTGTGTCAAATTTTGGGTTGTGGTTATGCTATGACACACATGTGGAACTCAAAGGAAATCTGCAGAAGTCAGTTCTCTTTTTCCACCGTATGGACTCCAGAAATAGAATTCAGGATGCCAGACTCACCAGCAAGCACCTTTTCCTATTGAGCACTATCACTGTCCCTAATTCTTCCTTGTTTCTTGCATTCACTCCTCTCCCCTAGGCACAACCTCACACTTGTAACTGATCCTAGAGTCCCAAGTCTGGGTAAATGCTACTATGTCTTAAGTTCTTTATCAGTTTCCTATGCCGAGTTTTCACTTCTTAGTACCAGCCTATTTCTTATTCATCTTTCCATCCTTCATAGAAATCCAACTACAGTAGAAACTCTCAATTAAGGTCTTATACACACACGAATGAATGAATGAATGAATGAATGAATGCTCTGTCCCATTTGTTCAATTAAATCATACACTCTCTAAGCATCACCTAATGTAACATGAACTACATTTCCATGCAAAAGTTAGTGAGAACAAAAAGAAAAAAAAGAAATATTTCAAATTTCTACAGTTCTATAGATAGATAGATAGATAATCACCTAGCAATTATGCTTATATTGAGTAATTTGGGGAAAAGGGTATCAACACCACTACCTTGAAAACAAAGTCCTTCTCATACTTACTTCAGCTAGTCTTGAGTGTTTGTGGACTGTCTCTGTTTTGTTCATTGGTGTAAGCTGCTGTAAAACACTCCGGCTATTTGTCAAAGCCCGTGTCAATCGGGCAAATTTCGTCCAACCTTCAAAAGATGAAAAGAGAGTTTTGGTTATTCATATACAATGAATTGGAAATGAATTTTCTCAGAGCGTCAAAGGATTGCAGCCAACCAGAAAAACTAACCAGAAAAACTGAGAAGTGCCAGTTTTATTCCTAAGTAAACACCCATCATATATTTGAAGTGTGACTAAAATGATGTACATTCTAATATTTGTGACACGTTGTAACATTTGTACCTTTCTCAGATCTATTACGTAGTCCCTATAGTCAAAAAAGATACTAGGTTTAAAAAAATTCTGGTCCTGCTTGCTTTTTATGGATTTGTTAAGGGAAAATAGCTGTTTATCCAGCAACTCCTTTCTCAGTGCCCCATGCAGCTGTGTGTTCCAAGTCCCTAGATGTCACCAATGGAATGTAAACAAAAACATGATGCCACACCTGTATCTCTATTGCAAAAGCAAGTTGGTATCAAGGGGTTCCTCTCCCTTCTACAAGCTGGGTGCAAATGGCAAGGCCTGAGGGGAAGACAAGGCCACTAGATCGCTGTGCAGAAGGATGCTAACCAGGGCCACTTGCTTTGGATTATTACATGAACAAGAAATATGCTTCTCCTGTGTCAAATCAATTTTGTTCCTTATTAATAAAAAATAATACATTAAAAAATTACTACATTATTGTTTGTTAGAGCGGCTACTACCACCTTAATGAAAACAGTTCTTCCATGCATTGTACAAAGAGATGTACAGAAAGAATAGCTCAGTTCCAACCACTCTCCCATTTTATGGTTCTTATCACACGTTCTGCCTTCCTTGTAGCATAACAAATGTTATTTCTCTCATTTCTCTCATTAACAACTGCAGTGATATCTAAAAAGTTATGCTTGGAGTATCTAAAGACCTAATCATATTTTCTGAAAGAGAAGTTGCTTTTGGGAAAAAGGAATGTGAATTTAATGGGAAGAGAATTTCTTCTGGGGCCTCAAATTGCCATTATTAAAATCATTAATTTCAAAGAAATACCAGTGAGATGTGAGCAAATAGAGAAAAACCAGCCATATTCTGGCCCTGTCTCAACTATCCTTTTTCTCCAGCTAGATCAAAAGCTAAGCTCTATTAAAGATTTGTTTAAACCCATCTCAGTATTATTACCAATTGATGGAACAGTCTCCAAACTACTCCTTAAAATGAAAACTTCAGCTGGTCAGAAGGGATGAATAAGACTAATGCCTGTCAAATGGCAGAGTCCAGGAAACACGGACTTTACTACTAGCCTTTAGACTAATCGTTCAGGCTCAGAACTGCTCCTACCAATTCTGCTCCTTCTGTGTGTTCACGGATTGGATGAGAAGTAAGCTGACATCCATTGATGGTAAGTCTTTTTTCCTCTCTAATAACGGACTTTGTCCTAGTGAATGGAATTTAAAGTCAGGTTGGAGGCAGCATTACCTGAAGCCCAAGGTTCTGTACAATGTTTCAGTCTCACAATGAGGCAACAAAGACACCGTCAGCTCTCCAGAAATTGAGCATCAACCTACAGAATTGACTTAAATTCTCTATAAACCAACCTCGATTTCTCTCCTCTGTGCTGGCCCCACATAAATCTCTGTCACTCGCCACACTTTTCTAAGATGTTCTACAGACATCTGGCTCCCAACACGTCCGAAAGTCATCTCATTATTAGGTTTTCTCTGCGTTGCCAATCCTAAATCTGTCATATACCCCTGACCTTGATGAATTACCTGGTGTTCTTTGTAACCTTCCGAACCAGTAACTTAACATCACCTACACACACACACACACACACACACACTTCTAAGCCTTCTAGTTTATAATTTATGAATAAATTTCTTTCAAAATGAATGCCTTTCGTCCTTACATGTCAAACAATACAACATGTGTCATTGTAGTCAGGTGGCAATCCCCTGAGAACACATTCACATGCTGCTGAGATCCTTTCTAAAGCACAGATCAGAGCACACATTCCCCTTTCAACCTTTCATATCAACCTGGAGACTTCCAGGATAGAACGGCGAGTCCTTGGAAGAAAGGTCACTTAGCTTCTGACCAGAAGGATTTACACCACATCTATCATCTGTCATCTCCTCTTACTGTTTTCCAATCGTACTAAACCAACAGAAAATTAACTGAAAAACAAACTCAAAATATAGCTAAAGACTCTCAGAGTTCCTTTTACACACTATAATATCCCATTCTTTTCATATTACACTCATCATGCCTGTCTAGAATTCCGTTTGGCTAATGGCAGTTCTGACTCAATTGAAGGATTTCTTCATTCTGGAAGCTTCTTAAAGCCACCTACAATGCCCTCCTTCATACACCATAGTACACGCACACATCATGTGAGAGCAGCAACATCAACACATGCCATCATAGTTTACTTTGGGTTAACTAAAATTCATCATCTGGCACTAAAGCTAAGTTAACAAAAAGCAACTGACTAATCCAATTTTATTTATATGTTCCTATAGTGAGTGGGCTTTGGCCAGTTTTTTTGGGTTGGGAGTAAATAGTAAGGGTGCCCTTAGATGACTGTAAGTATTTCAGTCATCATGCCAAAATATATTGATAATTCCTCATCTTACATCAACTGAGTATTACAGTTGCACAGGCTATTTCTAGAAACTTCCCAGCTCATCTTTTTTCTTCCTGAAGGCTCACATTTCTTTAAAAAAAAAAAGATGATGTGAGATCTCTGTAGATCTGAGTGGGGTCAAAAGAGAAAGCTGTTTGCATTCTGTGTATACAATAAAGTTTGTCTAGAAAAAAAAATATGAGAACAAAGGAGAAATGTGAAAGGAATGTGTGCAATAAACAAAGCAAGAGGGCAAACCTTTAGAATGTTTGCATTCGCTCATCTCCTACAACCACACCAACAGTGAGATGTGTGAGGAAGGAAAAGCACAACCACAAAAGTGATTGTCACTCACTGGTGCTTCTGCATTTCATAATAACGGAGCAGGAGTTCCTAATCTAAATTCTCACAAAGCACTGGTTTCCATGTGTCTGCACACAACTATATAGAATCTGATAAGCATACTTTGTAGAGGGCACCAATTACATTTTGGTTGAATAAGTGAAGCGCTGAGTGAAAAAAGTTAAACAGAGGTTAGCACATCACTTGCCTTAGGTACAATGAAAATGCAACAAAGGAGCTAGGCTCAGCTTTCAGTATGCGTCAATATGATTCATGACATTCGGGAAGAACTCTGGAGCAGAGAAGGTAGAAAGTGTTCCTACTCTTCAGAAAGAACTTGAGGAACAATTAGCTGAGAAAGAAAGGCAGGGCTAGGTGAGGGGCCAGTTCTGGCATAGAGAAATTAAAGTCAAGGGCAATTGTCAGGGAGTCATCTTGTAGGAGTTGGCTATCAGCAAGCCCCAGAAGGTGGAGAACCAAAGCTGAGCCAAGTTGTGTTCTTTTCATATGTAAATCAGTGGAAGAGCAGGAACCTCTGCTCCCTGTGTGCACTGGCCAGGGCCCCCTCAGGGTCCTCTGCTCTCATGCTCTAAAGTTAGCATTTTTCTGAAGACTTCTAAACCTCCTTCCTTCCACCACCTACCCACTTTACCTGAAACAAATAAGAGCCACACCAAACACAAACACCTAAAGATTCCCTTCTTGGCTTCCCACCAACCCACAAGGGCACCTCTCATCTGCTCCCCATGCTACCTCACTCTTGCCTGCTCCCCATCATCTCCTAAAGAATTAGGCATTTGTTTCTCCTTGATGACAGACACATGCACAAGAAGTCTGCCGATTTCCCACTGCTATAAACCACGCCGTGTTGAGTTTTCTTCTGTCCATCCTTTTTTTTGCCCTGGATCTGCCTTCATTGGTGACTATGTGAGTCTATTTGGTCTTTCCCCAACTCCAACATTACGGTCAAACTTTGAAAAAAGTCACCCAATCACACCGTCTAGGTCAAAGCAAAAAGACTCATCAGCAGTTCTCACTTCTCCCCAGGACCGCATCCACCCACCTCTCTACAGAAATCTAACTGTGCGCCTGACAGCTCAGCAGTTCGCTGACGTTACTTAGACATGGTCGATATGGGGTAATCTGAACAGACAGTTGGCTATGACGAGTAGGATGCTTGCACTGTAAGTTGTTCATGGCATTATGAGAACATTTGTTCTCCTAAAAGCTCGGGCTGCCAACTCCTTCTTAATAAAACATTAGTTTAGCTCTATTGGGTTGCAATTAACCTCTTTGTCATGGACTGCCTAATCTTAAAAATGAAAGGAAGTCACAGAGGCAGTTAAATCAATCTATTGGGCTGCAACACAAGATTCCAATCTATAAGGAAAAAGCTTAGGTAAACAATTTTGCTCTCAGCCAACAGGACGGCCTGGCATAATTACTCCTATTTCTTCTGCCGTCTCCTCTCTAAAGAAAAGCATTGGCTTTTGCAAGCAGGTTACTTTTTTGATGTTATTTTTATTCTGGAAGAATTTTTTTTAACCTCATTATTGGCAAAAAGGTGTCATGACTACTTGGCAGAGGATGTTTCACACGGTAATTATCTTAGCAGTTTGGAAGTCTGTTTGAAAATCCTGTACTGTATCAATGAGCCCAGATTTGGATAATGATCTTTAGAACACATAAGGTAATCAACAGCAGGGACCTCCTGGGCTTTAATTTGCATTTGATGATAGATAAAGAGTCAGATACGGTTGATGGATTGTCTGAACAAATCTTCTGACATCGAAATACCAGGTACAAAACATAGCAAGACTATTTCACCCTGTGGAATTAGCATCAGGACATTTGGTTGGTTCTAAGAGCACGACTCTGTCAGAAATACAGCATCCTCATGAGGCCTATGCTTGAGAACAGGGAATTAAGGTGACTATGCCTGCCAGTGAATTCCCTCCTGCCGAAGAGGGGACCGCAATGGGCAATCTGGAGAATGTGAGGCTTGACAGCATCCTGAGTGTTAGGCTCTTCAGCAGTGGGATGGAGATAACAGCATAAACTTCACAGTTAGTGCACTGAGCAATGACG